GTTTGGGGTTTTCTTCCTCCCCGCCAGAGCCTCAGACCCCCCCAAAAACTCTCAAAAAGGGTGCAGAGCCCTTCGCTGTGGGGTGGATTGGACTGTGGCCCCTTCCCCTCCCCGTGCCCATGGAATCTGAGGTTGGAAACCCCCTCCCAGATCGAGTCCAACCTGTGCCTGGTCCCCACCTTGTCCCCCAGCCCAGAGCACTGAGGGCCGCATCCAGTCCTTCCTTGGACACGTCCAGGGATGGGGACTCCAAACCTCCCTGGGCAGCCCCTTCCAGTGCCTGACCACCCTTTCCAGGAGGAAATTCCTCCTGGTACCTAAGAATGATGCTCATCCCCCATTCCAGAGCCCACCTGCCCAACCGCAGCCCCTGAGGTGCCGTCCCCTCCCTCACGCTGCATCAGGGACATCCCTTCCATACTGGAAGATATTTTGAGTTTTCAACCCGTTTTCCCAGCCTCGGGAGGATCTGTGCTCCAGGGAATAGGACAAAGAAGGATCTGTGTTCCAAGGGAATGGGACAAAGAGGGATCTGTGCTCCAGGGGAACAGGACAAGGGAGGTTCCGTGTTCCAGGGCAGCTCCACACAGCCCAGCAGCACCAATTTGGTGCTGTTTGACAGCAAATCCTGGACTTTGCCTGGAGGTGGGAGAAGCCACACCCGAGGCAGAGTCCTGGGTGTGACCAGCCAGCCCTGGACACTCAGCAGGGAGGTTTACACGGAGATAAACCCCAACCTGAGGGGAGCTCTGGTGGCAGCAGGGTCCGTTTTGACCCCCATCCCTCCTTCCTCCCCCAGGCCCCACTCCCACGCTCGGATGGGAAGCCCAGCCGGTCCTCCAGCGCTCGGAGAGGGCCTGGCATTGATTTCACAAGCTGCTGCACACACTGAGGAGGTCACAGTTACACGTGGGCACAGTTTATTCTCTGGATGCACTCGCGCATTGTTTCTGCTCAACAGCCAAAGCTTTATTGATTCCAAACCATCCTCCTTCTCCCCCAGCACGCCTGGTTTTGAACTATGTACCCCCTTTTCCCACCCCTCAACCACTCTTCTGCTTCCACTCGGAGTATTAGCTCTGCTTGGAGTCTGTTTGCTCAGAAGAAGCCAACTGACAATTCATTCAGATTCTTTTTTTTTTTTTTCTCCCAAGAACCATATAAATTACATGCAAAACATTGTACATAGAGATTAATATCAAAATGCAATACAGATCAGGTGCACTTTAAGCTGGACTGTAGGATATGGCAAACACACCAGGGTACATATTGCTTTGAAACCACCATTTTTTTGTTGTTGTTGTTGTTTAATGTCATGCATACCACATAATATTCAGTCTTTTGTTTTGTATTTTATTTTTTCTCCCGTTTTTATACAAAAATACCAGTGCTTATTATACTTAGTTACTGGAAAAGAAAAACTCGGCTCTGCGTGCCCTCTTCAAAGGAAAGTTTTGTTGTGAGAGCGCGGGATAAATATATATACACACACATAAATGTTGATTTCATACTGTATATATATATATTTATTGAAGGGGAGGAAATAAACTAAAGGCAGTTTTAGCCATGGGCTTTGCTGGATGAAAATTGGGGCCTTTGGTGAGTGGGAGGAGAGCAGAACTCAGCAGGGGGAGATGCTGGAGAGGAAGAACCAGGGGCCAAAACCCACCTGGTTGGGGTGGTTCTGTTTGGGGCAGGCCCAGGAGAGAGGTATCCCCACATTCCTGTGCTCCAAGGGGAGAGCTGGGAGTGCAGGGGGGGTGTTTTAGGGATCCACGTCCATGAACTCGTAAGAGTGGGACGGAGCAGGACACGATGCAGCCACAGGTGCCCTCCCACAAAAGCTTCCAGGGACTTTGGTGTGGTCCCTGCAGCCGTGGAGAGCAGCAGGACTCGGCCATGGCACCTTGGAGATGCCCTCCCTGGATTTGGGATGGGGTTTTTCCAGTCACCCCCATCGTGGCCCCCCCCAGGAGCTGGGGCTGAGCACTCCGGGCCATCGACTCCTCGCAGGGGGGGAAAAAAAGCCAAAGGCCGCCCATGCTAAAATTTGGTTTAGTTTTTTTCCTTCTTGAGATTGTTTCCGAAATTTCCCTCGAAGCTTATTGCACGAAACCTTTGAAAACGAAGTTAAAAACTCCCCTGTGCAAACCAGAAAGGAAACCTCATCACGGAACGCAAACGCCTCAGAAGCTGCCTGGTCAGCAACGCACCCCGAGGGCGTGGTGGGATGTCTTTGGTACCAATCCGCCAATTTATTCCACAGAAAGAAAAAAAAAAAAAATCCACCACCAGAGACCCTCCTGGGATCAAGAACTGGATGCAAAATTACGTTCGGAGTGTTTTAATAACAAAGCATTCCAAGGCAAGTTAACACGGATCACAGGGTATGACTTCGGTTCCTGTCGGGCACTGTCCCCGTGCGCGCTCGTGGCAGTTCAAACAAAGCAAAAAAAAAAAAATTCCAATAACTATATGAATATATATATATATATTTATATATATCTCCCCCTAGTCAAGGCATGTTGCAGAGAGTCCCCAAAAGTTCGTGCCGCCGACCATGCCTTTTGGAGCACCAATCTCCCCCAAATCTTTTGTAATGTCCTCAATAACTTAAGCCAAGAGTCAGCTGCTGCCAGTATATCACTGAAACTAAAAAAAAAAAACAAAAAAACAACGAAAAAACCCCAAAAAACCCCCAAATACTTTACAGGAAATTTGTACGCACAAGAAACGCTTATACTTGAAGCAACCAGCCATAACCAACATAATTTATATATATAATTATATATTAAAAAAAACCCCATTTGTGTCACCCAACTAACGTCTAGTAGAAAGATGGCTGCTCAGAGAAAAGGAAGCTGACTGGCATCCGATGGCTGAATTAATTAATGCACGGAATTAATTACCTGTCCCTTGGACCTGCCGTCACACAGTTGCGCCGGGACTCGAGATCTATTTATTTACTTCTCTTTAAACAAAATACATATGGCTGACGTAAAAATATCAGTTTCTGATCTAAAGAAAACTAGATTATTTTTTTTTTTGCATAATATTTATATATAATTATTTCTCCCCCTCCTAAATATGGAAAACTAGAACGACAAAAATAGAGCAACTAAAGAACGACCAGACCCTTGTGGCAACCTGCCAGTCACAGATTTTTGGGAGTGACTTTGAGAGCCTCCAAACTTGGCTTTTGGTTGGTTGAAGTCTTTTTTTTTTTTTTTTATTTTTTAAACAGGTCTGAGGTATTAAAAAAATATCAAAAGAAAAAAAAAAACAACAAAATAAATCGGTGCATCCCCCCTCCCCAAAAAAAAAGTATTTAATAAATATTTATGTAAGCTTGTAAGAACACCATATTTTCACCTTTTTTTTTTTTTTGGTTTTTTTTTTGCGAGTATTTAAAATAGAAAAAAGTGAATCTTTTTTTTTTTGGTTTTTTTTTTTGTGTTTTAGTTTTTAAGCCAATGTCACCTTTTAGTACAGAACCAAACCCCACAACACCGTACCCCCCCTCCCCCTTCGTCTTTCCTGTCACCAACTCGTGTTTAACCCAAGAACCGCCCGCACTCCCCCCCACAAAGGTCCTGCCCACGGTGGGTTTTGGGGAGGGGAGGGCAGCGATGGGCAGGGAGAGGGCTGACACTGAATTTGGGATGGGCAGTGGTGGCAATTTCTTCTGGCTGTTGGCAGTGTAGAGCCCAACCTTCACCCCTCGCCAGCACCCAGGCACGGGGGTGGGAGAAGGACCTTTCCTCAGCTGCCTGGGGCAGGGATGGGGCGGCTCATCCTCCCCTCCTCCCACCCCCAGGAAGGGACGGGGTCGGGGCTGGGCTGGAAACAAAACAAAGACACTTGGTTTGTGTTGTGGTTTAAGGAACACTTATTTCTTGGCAAAGTACTGGGCCCTGGCGTGGCAGGAGGTGCTGCAGGCAGTGCTCGGAGAAGGCACGGGAGATTCTGCTGTGCGTTCTGAAAGGAAAGGAAAGAAGAAACCAGCCCAGCCCACCCTGCCCCTAAAACCCCGCTGCTCCCAGGGGTGGAGCTGGGCTAAGACAACATTGTACAGCCAGTTACAACCAGGTTCTCTCTGCTTCCAACAGGGCCAAACAGGATGAAGGAGGGAAGGAAGGCAGCAGAGCTTCCTCTGGGATGGAGGAGGGAAGGAAGGCAGCAGAGCTTCCTCTGGCCCTGCCTGCCCAGGGCCACAACCCTGGGGAAGGGACTCAAGCAAAGCAAATCCTGCCTCCTGCTCGGGGCCATGGATCACCAGAGGGGCAGTTCGGAGCCAACTGGGGCCTCTGCTCCAAAAAACAGGACTCTCCCTAAAAGTTTCCAAGAGGTGGAGGTGAGGCAGGACACAGGGTGAAGAGATGACCTCCAAAAAAGCAGCAAGTGAGGCTGAGCCTTCAGCAGCACCTTCTCTGGAAGATCTGCAGCCAACCAAGCAACTGCCACCTCCTCTGGCAAAGCAGCTCCAGGAAGCCAAGGGTCCTCCACTGGCCATGGAGCCTCCCCCCCTTCCATGGGATAACGAGACAACCTAATTCATCCCTTCCATGACCTGGGGGTTGGCCCACTGTGCCCTCAGTGCCCCGATGCCTGTTCTCTGTTCAGCCTGGTAAAGCTTTTGGTGGGCACAGCTCTGAGGTTCCTCAGCAGTTCACTGGTGCTGCTACTCCAAGGCTGAAGGATTATTTAATCCAACAGCACAGAAAAGCCAGAATGGGCAGAAATCCCTCTGCTCTCAAAGGCAGGAGCCGTAAAACCCTGGCAAAGCTCTCACCAAGAGCTTCACACCTGATCAAGAGCAGCAGAGAGGCCTCTCTTAAGATTCCCCAGGAAGGAGCCACATTTCTCACAACAGTGGCTTTTTTTTTTTTCCCCACCACCTTTTCACTGCCAGTTCACCTCCACCTTTGTAGAAAAATCAGAATCTTTTCCATCCAGCAAAGTTACAGCCAAGTCACCTTCGTTCCTCATCTACCAATTTGGAAACAGAGAGAGAAAAGTGTGTGTGGACACTCAGAAGAGGAGCTGGAAAGGTCAGGTACCATTTTTCAAGGTGGAAGACTGGTGCACATCCCTGTATCCCTCAACCTGCAAGTAAACACCTTCCCCTGGCTGGGTTTTGTTGTTTATTTCTTAGTTTTTGCACTGGAGTGCTGACTGCCCCCACTTCCCACTGCAGAGTTCCTGGGGGCAAATCCCACGAGCAAAGAACAAACCCCAACGTTAGAAGAAAACCCCAAAAAACCACAAGTGGAAAAAAAAAAAAGAAATAAAATAAAAGTCACAAGTGCAGCCCAGCCCTCGGGCTGAGGGTGGGCACGTAAGACTACACCAACTCGAATTTCCTTTGATCATGCATTTTGCAAAGTGAAAACCCCCAACAGACAGACAGACACGCCTGGAGCCCAACTCTTGGAGAGGAAAGAACCTGGCTGCTTCACCCCGGCGAGTACCACTGAAAACGAGGGATGGAGATGGCACAATTTTTTTGGCTTCGCCTCTCTCCCCAACGCCCAGCATCGTGGCACTCTGGTTCCCACTGCTAAATCATGGTAAAAAAAAAAAAAAAACAACACAAAAAACCCCAAAAACAACAAAACGAAACGAAGGAAAACAAATAACCCCCCCCCCCAGAAAAAAACCCACCCCAATGATATACGTATGAGCAGTTTGACACGAGGTGTGAGCAGTTACTGGTGCCGACGTCACACCGGGCGAGGGGCCGAGGTGGAGGAGGAGGAGGAGGAGGGGAGGGGGGTTCCCAAGTTCTAAGGTCAAACCGATGTCTCCAGGCTGTGGAAGGGGCTCTCGGGCTCCGGGACGGAGAGCTCAGCTCGATCGCTGTCCACTGCATTGTTATTTCTGTTCAGGGCTGGAGGCCCGCCCGGGCTGCCCCCGCCGCGCGTCGGGAGCCCGTCAGTCTCGGGGTCGTCTTCAGCGCCGTCAAGGAATGGTGTTCGAGGCTCGTCTTCCTCCAGGATGAACTCTGGGTGAGTCATGAAGTTATGGATGGAGCTTCTGGATTCGGGTTTCTCGAGGCCTTCGTACAGGGAGCTACGGAACGCATTCACCACCTTGATCTGCCGGGAGCGCGGGGAGGGGGCAAAAGAGACGGGTTAGTGACGGCTCCGGGGGGCCAGAGAGCCCGGGAGAGAGGCCAAATAAAGAGTGAGGACACGGTAAAAAAACGAAAAAGCACGACCACGACAACAAGTCACCACCACTGAGCACACAGCTGGGTCAAACTGAGAGGTCTATGGTGAACTAGGAGGGCCAACACGGATCAGACTCAGGCACTGGGTGTGTGATGGGGGAATCGACCGACTACGGGGCGACTTCAGAAGCTGCAAGAAAAGACACAGAACGACTCAAAACCCGCCCCCAGGTCGCTCCGAATGGATGGAAGCCAGAATGCATTAGTTGTCATTACGTGTGCACACGCGTTTCGTGGGGATGGACGAGGACAACAGGGTGGAACTACGACTCAAAAAAAGAGGTGGGTTAGACAAACAGCGGGTTCAAAACACTCTACCGTGGGAGCCATGGGGGTGTTTGTTCTAGTTCACTGCTAGACCTGGGGAAAGGAATGGGCTTTAAAAAGGTGTCACCAACTTTTCAAGCCCATGGGAAGCACCAGATCCAAGTGGATGCCACGATCAGCTAACCCAGCTAAACGTGCACGAAGGAAGCCAGATCTGTGTGAGGTTCCCCACACAGCTGGAGCTCTGGATCCTTCCCTACACCAGCAGACCCAGTGGTTTCCAAAGGCAGCTAATTCTGTTGGATGTTCTGCAGGAAAACCACTCTCTTTGCTCAGAATCCCAGCCATGCTCCTGGGAAACCCACGGGGCAGCTCCCCCAAAAGCCAACATGTTACAAGCAGGAGATCCAGAGCCTGGTCTGGACAAACAGGGAATGGTTCTGCTGCCTCCACTGCACTGGAAGGGAGAGGTCTGGAAACAAGGCTGGATGGTGGCTTGCAGTGGATTCACTGCTCCCTCCAGACCCTCTGGAAATCCAGCCTTGAACCCTTCCAGCTCTCGCCCTGCCCTGCAGAATGGTGGGGGAGCAGAGTCCACACCCCACGTCCTGCTGAGATGAGCTGGGTTTAACTGCCCACCTCAGTGTGGTGCCCAGCCAGGCCAGGAGGGAGCTCACCAAGCAGCACAGCCAGCAAGAGCCTCCTGGGGATCTCTGCTCTCAGCACCAGCAGCACTCACCAAACCAGACCAGAGAGGTTCCTCAAAGAGCCTCGTGCCTGGAACCCTGGGAGTTTGACCTGCAAGTTGTTCCAGGGCTCCTCTCACAGGGGATGCCCTTCTGAGTCCCCTCTGCACCTGGCTCAGAAGGATGGTGCTGCACCACGAGAGTGGCACAGGCTCAGCACATCCTGGCTGGAAACAACCCCCCAGCTCTTGCACACACACATGGACCAGCACACACACATGAGCTGGAGACACTGATGAGGAGATGAGTGTGGGCCAGGTACCCCCTGGTGCTGGAGCACCAGCTGCCCTGCAAAAATGGAAGGTTGGTGGAGCTGGAAACAGAAATTCTGAGCTGGGTTTGCTGCACTAACACCACAGGAAGAGCCTGTGGGAGTGCACAGGACCACACAGGCCACCTCCAATCTGTCACATCACCAGCACCTTGAGAACAGCACCTGCAATCCCTGACCCCTGAAACGCAGAATGCACTGAATCAAGTATAACCAACCCAAACAGGCCAAGGAGAGCCCAGGGACTGCCAAAGCAAGGAGGTGCTCAGCCCAGCACAGAGGCAGGAGCAGCTCCCCAGGAGCCCTCCCTGTCTCTGCCCCCTCACTGCCTGCAGCTCCACCAAGGAGCTTCTGCTGCAGCTTTGCTCAGATTTTCCTCCTTCAACCATCTCTGTCAGCAGCTGCTGTGAAATGAATTCAGCTGTTCCCTTGTCAAAGGAACAGAACAGCAAGGAAATGTGTTCTGAATGAGCCAGGCAGTGCAAACAAAACCCAAACCCTCCCCTTCCAAGCTGGAAGCCCACCTCCCTCCCTGCTCACGCCTCCTCTCCACCTGGAACCTTCACACAACCTCCAGGCTTGGAATTTACTCTCATTTCACACCAGCCCTGCAGCACCACGACGTGCTGGGCAAACCCCCCTGCTCCCATGGAGATGGGAGTTACATCCCCTGCACGAGGCCAGAATCAGCCCCACTGCTGACCCCTGGCTGTGCCCAGCTCCCTCACTCCGGGGCAAAATCCCCAGGGAGAGCAGCCCAGCTCTGCAAACCATCTCCAGAGGGTCATTCCCTGCCTCTCCACCAGCCCAGGAGGGACACAGCAGCAAGGCTGCCGAGGTCCAGCCCTGGAGAACTCATCCATAGGAGGGCAGTGGGAGGCAGAGGGACACCATGGATCTGTGTGGAGGGAAGAGGAGCTTCGGGAGAGAGGGAAGCAGCAGAGGGAAACAGAGAAGTCCAGGCAGAAAACAGAGGCAAGACTTGGGAGACCTGGGTTAGCTCCTGGTGGATTTGCTGCCTGGAAGGGCATGAGCTACCCGGGTTATCTATTCCCTTGCTGCAAATCTGGGGAGGGAATTAATGCACAGACCGCAAAAAACCTGCATTTTGGTCGTGCCCCCCCTCCCCAGCCCACTACCCTGAGCCCCCCTAAGCAGGTTTTCTCCCATTAGCAAGTCTCAGTGGTGCCCAGATGCAGGCAGGAGCAGAGAGGCAGCTGTGCTGCTTCAGAAACACTGGGGTTAAACACAATCAAATCCAAGCACCAGAGTCAGCTAAATAGAGAGAGAAAACAAAATTATCCGAAATTCTCTCTCCTCCCCCACAGTGCATAAACAGTGGAGACTGAAAGCTATTCAGAAAGTCACTGAGGATATTTCTCTAATAAGAGGAGAACACGGAAAGTGACTGTGCAGTAAAAAAGCCAATTATCCAGGAAAGACACACAACCTACTCCCAGCCTGGCACAGCCTGCAGAGAGAACTCACGTTCACGTGCTCCCCCAGCCTGGACACACAGCTCCCCACGAGCACAGAGAGGGGCTCTGCACCAGGCAGGGATTATTTTGGCCTGGAAACCCACTGCTAGATCCAGGATCCAGCTCTCCCACTGGAAAAATCAGTGGTTTCCATCCTGTTTGCGTGCACAGCGGTGTGTGTGCACACACTGAGGATCAGAGTGAGCAGGACAAGGTGGGCACTGAGGATGCTCTGGCTGCCAGGGGACCAGCAGAGCCCTGGGCTGTCCCCACGGAGCCCCAGGGCAGCACAGGGCACACTCAGCTCTGTCCCACGTGCCATGCAAGCCCCCAGGGGGGACACAGAGGCTGCTTGCTTCCAAACCAGCTCTGAACCAGGGGAGCAGCCCCGAGGTGTCACCACGGGCCAGCTGAGCCACGGGCAGGGCTGTTCACAGTCCAGCCTCCATCCCACCCACAGCAGGAGCAAATCCTGCTCCTCACACGCCCTCCCCACGGCTCAGCCAGCCCTGCAGCACACTGGGGGAAGGTCCCAGCGGCCACTCTGCCTCCAAACAGATTTGCAGCTGCAGGAAAGCAACGCCTCTGCCCACCCCTGCCCTCCCGGGGCGTCCCAGGGCCGGGCAGAGCCGTGGGGGAAAGGACCAGCAGAATTTGGGCTCAGTGTTGCCCCTCTCACAGCAGTGCTTTTAGCTGCTCATGAACACGGGGCTCTCTGAACGAGAGCTGCCAATTTTTGCACCCCTCGGGAGGGTGGACTCAAACGTCAGCCCTGCAAAGGAGGAGAAGAGGTAAAAAACGGAGGAAGCAACAAGGACTGGGGGGGGGAAGGACCAGAAAGGTCAACTTGTTAAAGGTGCAACAAAAGCATCAAAACCATGGTTTTTTTAACGCTTTCCCGCCCCGTCCTTCATGTTGGGAACCAGTGTGCGAGTCAGGGTTTAGAGGGAGAGAGAACAGGCCGGGTTAGGTGGGTGCAGGTGCTCTCTGTGGTTATTAGAAGTCATGCATTGTAATAGACTATCACTCACTGCCCGCAGGAGGAGATGCAGCAGCAGCAGCAACAGCAGAAGTGGTGGGAGTGGAATTGACGGAGGAAAGAGCTACATGGGTTGGGCTAGAAACATTTTTTACATCGTGGTGCTGGCTCACGATGGAAGGCTGTCTCCTGAGGGCTCCCTGCAAAGAGGAGGCGCCGGTCTGGAATGTGTAAACTACGTCCATCTGCAAAGAACCAGAGAGTGAGATAGCGTCGCCCGGGCAGGGACAGGGGCAGGGGCAGGGAGGGAGGGGAGCAGGGGGGTCGGGCAGACACACACAGACAGGAAGGAAGAAGGAGGATGGACAGGTAGGGAGGAGGGAGGAGAGAGCCCCCCACCCCGTAAGCCCCCACCGGGTTGGGCTGGTGATCCGGGGAGCAGAGGGGTCACCTTCCAGCCTCTGCCCCTCCCACGGGAGCGAGAGCAGCAGGAGTTACCCCCCCACCACCAGAGAGACCGTGGTGGGAGGGAGTGACAGAGGAAACACCTTGGGTTATCCCAGCAATCTGCAGCAGGAGCAGAGGAAGAGAGAGGGTGGGCAGAGGTGCGAGCTGGCAGCCGGTGGGTCCAGAAAACTGCACTGGCAAAGGGTTTGTGGTCCCTCGGCCCTGTGGGGTGTTCAGCTGGGGGGGCTGAATCCTGGCACACACCATGTGCCCACAGCTGGAGACATTTCAGCCCCTCTCCCAGGCTCAGGGCTCTGGAGCAGAGCTGGAGGGGGCAGGAATGCAGCAAGAAGTATCCTTGGTGGTGGGGCCACAGTTCTGTGGATGTGCTCCAAGGGCAGAGGAACCAGGCAGGATCCAGGTGCCACCTTGGCTTCCTGGACACTTTGCAGCTGGAGTGTCCCCAGCCCTGTGCAGGGAGCACAGCTCCTGTGGCAGGGACACCTCCTCCAGACCCACGTGAAGCTCTGGCTCAACTGGAGGGACTTCACACATGGCTTAGCTCCTTCCCCAGTTTGATGCCCCTCTTTTCCCCAGTGCCCCAGGCTGGGCTGTGGGGAAGAGCCCTGTGCTCTCATTCAGACACACTGAGTGGGGACAGAAGCCCCCAGATGCTCAGGCTGGACCAGCCTGCTCTGCTCAAGGGCACCACAGCCAGGAGAGTCCCTAAAGAGGCTCCAGGATGTGCATCCAGGAGCGTTTCTCATGTTGCAAGAGCAAGGGCTCATCTCAGCCCAGGTCCACCACACCTGCAGGGAGATACCTGGGAGGCTCCAGGCTCACCTGGCTGCTGGCACTGCAGCCCTTTGCACCTCCCAGACCTCCAACACAGCTGGACCTCCTCCAAAAGAGCCTGGAGCTGCCAGCACATCCTTCATGTGAGGGAACCACTGGTTTCCAGCACTGCCCAGGCTCCCCAAAGAGCCCCTCACTGCTCACAACGAGCAGGGAGTCAAGTTTGAACTCCACCTTGAAAGCAAGAAGGGAACATCTCCCAGAGGAGAAGGAAAGTTCCTGTGGCACAGCCCAGCTGCTGTGCTGCCCCAGCCCCTGTCTTGGGGCCTTTTTGGTTTTCTCTGTCTGTCAGAGGGACAGAGAGGAGGCACAAAGGTAGCCCAGCAGCCCTGTGTGCCAGGGACACTGGGACATGGAGCTTTCCTCCACAGGACAGCTCTGCCCAGGCCTCCAGGAAAGGTGAGGGGCTTTGACCCTGCCCTGCCCAGTCTGGGGCAGAAAAAAACACCCTTTCAGGAAAAAAAGAGTGTAAGGGAAAAACAGGTGATGTAAAAAGCATATTAAGAGAGAGATTCTCCTCCCCTTCTGTGCTGTGGGGCCAAGAGCTCCTGGTGAGGAGCACAGAGAGCTGGCACAGAGGGGTGGCAGCAGCCAAGGGGCTGTCAGGAAGAAAAGAGCAGCCAAAGAGTGAGACCAGAGAGGGTCTGGTGCAGAATGAGCACATCCCTCACTGGGAACAGCATCCCAGCAGTGACCAAGGGCAGCTCCAGTGCTGACCCACTGCATGACAGAGCCTGGGTGGCTCCACGGACCCCCCACACCTTCCAAGCAACCTCCTCTGCTGCACGAGGTGCCCAGCAGGAGCACATCCAGCCTCCTGCAGACCAGCAGGACATGGTGCTCTGCATTAGAGCAGCCTCCCCTCACCCCAAGATGTCCCCAAAGCCAGGCTGTCCTGGTTCCCCAACCAGGACAGACCCAGAGAGGCACAGGTGATGGGAGAAGTCTGGCCCAGGAGGCGATGGCATCCTCCGGGCAGCAGCATTCACCTCTTTCCAGAAAGATCCCCTGGAGACAAAGAAGGAGAAAGAGAGAAGGAAGAGCCCCCCATCCCTGCTGCCCCCCTGTACCTGTGTCTGTATCCTGTTGAGACCCCTGAACCACAGGATCTGCCCACGCCGCAGCTCCATCTCGGCGTGGTCGATCTCGTCCACGTCCTCAGGCAGCTCCTCCTCTGGGATCTCCTCCTTGGTGATGCCGTGCCCAGCTTCCTTCAGGAACTTCAGGTGGCTGGTTGGGACAGTGCAGATCAGCTGGAGAGAGACAGGGAGAGCAGCTCTTTAGCCTGAGGCCATGGGAGCAGGAGCCCACCAGCCAAGGGGAGCACGAGCTGCCCAGACCCAGCTGGGACATGCTGGGATGCAGCAGAGACATGTCACTGCTGGATGTGTCCCTCTGGAAGCAGGATGGGAGTGAGGAGCAGATTAGCAACCTCCCCTCCTCGCTGCTGGTGTGGGATGGAGCATCACCCCCTCCCAAAGCTGCCTTGAATAAATACTGGGGAGAACAAGGGCAGGGAGGCAGCGGGAGGGAAAGACACGGGGCAGGTTTGGGACATTGGCTCTTACCTGGCCCCACAGGAGCTCCCCAACTCCGATAAAAATACACCAGAACCACTGGCTCAGGGTGAGTCCAGAGCAGCTGAAAGGCTTCCCACCAAACTCCACGATGACAATCTACAGCACAGGAGAGAAGAGTCACACACTGGGGAGCTCCAAGGGCTGCAGGGCACAGCCACAGCATGAGAAGGGCCCCTCAGGCCACACAGCTTTTCCCTCCTTCCTGGGATTACAAGGGGAACAAGGACCTCACATCGAGGCTGGGAACTTTATGGGACACCAGAGGTACCTCCCAACACACTCTAGACCTCAAATCACAGAATCACAGAATGGTCTGGTTTGAAAGGGATCTTAAAGATGATCCAGTTTGAACCCCTCCCACCAGACCAGGTTGCTCAGAGCTCCATCCAACCTGGCTTTAAACACTGCCAGGGATGGTCCAGGTTCTTTTGTCACCAAGAAGCATCTGGAGAAGAACCAGGGGTGGGGACAGAGCTGTGGGTTCTGACTGCAGCAGCCACGGGTCCTGCCCGTGGCACCGGCCCCTCCCGGCCCCGACACCCCATTGCCACGCTGCCCCCGCAGCCTCACCTGGGCTGCAAAGGTGCCCAGCACCACGGTGCAGAAGATGGGGTTGCGGTAGATGGACTCGAAGACGTTCCTCTCGCCGTGGATCTTGCGGGCGTTGATCTCGTTGAAGAGCTGCATCATGACGAAGGTGTTGAAGACGATGGTGTAGTGCTCGGTGGGCGGCGAGTGCAGCGGCGCGTTCCGGCCGCTGTCGATGTCAAAGAACTTCTCCCCTGAGCACACAAGGGGGTTTGGGGAGGGGAAGAGAGAGGAGAGGCTGAGACCCTGCTCCTCACTTCTGCTCTGCGCTGGTGGAGGTGGAATTAGGACCCCAGGATCACCCGAGATCCCTCGACCCGGCTGGAGCCCCCTGTGCTGCCCCCCCCGGAATCCTGAATTCCTTAGAAGTGTTGAAAAGCCAAAACTGTCTGTGCACCCAGAGGTCTCTAGAGAAAAATTCCTCTTCACATCATCCCTCTGCTTCCCACCCATGATTAAACAAGCCCCGTCCTGGCCAACAAGGGTTCACTGAGGGACAGCTGAGACCGAGGGTCCCCTTGGGGAGGAACAGGGGATTGCAGGCAGGGCTGGGGCTCTGCCCCTTTCCCTTTGCCCCCACCATTCCTCGGGGCTCAAAGCTCACCTGCAAAGAGCAGTGTGAAGATGATGGTGAGCTGGTACACGGCGTGGCCCAGGATGTTCTTCATCATGGTGCGGGAGATGAGCGGCTTGTTGCGGCCGTAGGGCTTGCGCAGCAGCAGGGACTCAGAGGGGGGCTCCGTGGCCAGGGCCAAGGAGGCAAAGGTGTCCATGATCAGGTTCACCCACAGCATCTGCACAGCCTTCAAGGGGGAGTCCTGCAGAGAGAAGAGTGGGGAGAACACGTCACACCCCCGAAAGCACCCTCTTTTCCCTCCTTGCTCCGCAGGAGCCTCCACCCTCCTCCTGAAATCCTCTCCAGGATTGCACTTGGATGTTTAACACCTCCCCGAAAACACCCCCAAAGCATTTCTCATTCGCTCAAAGCTCCCTACACGGGCTCACAAGGCTCTGCCCAGCACGTGGCTCCTGCTCACAACCCACAGAAAACCTGTTAAACCCCCCACCCTTCCTGCCCCGTCCCCGTGCCTGGGTGATGCAGGCGCCCGTGAAGGCCACGATGACGGCCACGACGTTCACAGTCAGCTGGAACTGCAGGAACTTGGAGATGCTGTCGTAGACGTTGCGGCCCCACATGACGGCCTTGACGATGCTGGTGAAGTTGTCGTCGGTGAGGATGATGTCCGAGGCCTCCTTGGCCACGTCCGTGCCCGCGATGCCCTTGGGGAGCGGGGAGAAGCGGTGGGGTGAGTCATGGAGAGAGGCTCTGTCTGCCTGGCTCTGCTTCTTCCCAGAAACAGCCCCCAAAAGGAAAATCCAACAGAGCCAGAGCAGCCGGTGCCAGCCCGCGCTCGCCAACGCGCTCGGGAGAGCGGAGCTCCAAAGCAGCAAAGCCTCCAAGGACAGACACCGGCTCAGCTCCAGGGCTCTGAGTCAGCCCTGCCTTCCAGCCTGTGCCTGTGCACGTCCCAGACAGGGCCACGGTGCAGCAAAGCTGGAAAGCAGCTTCCTCCTCCTGCCAGGGAACACGGGCATCCCAGGCTGGGCATCTCTGCTGCACGCGAGGGTTGGGATCCCAAACGAAGGGGAGCTCAGCAGCTCGAAATCCTGGGGCCTTCTGCCCCAGCCGGGGTGCTGGCACTCCCCCAGCCTCCCAAAAACCACCGGCAGTGTCTCCAAGGACACGGAGCCGGATGGACACTGGGCTGGCTGTGATTCCCACCACGGGCACACTGAGGCGCTCGTCCTGCAGTCATTAAATGTGCCATGGCCTTAATGAGCCCATTCCCTGGTGCTTTCCCAGAGGAATTCTCTAGGGATTTGCCAGACCCCATCCCATCTCAGATCAGGCTGCTGAAGGGCACAAGCTCCAGAGGAACAGTCGCCTACTTTCTACTGCTCATCCAAAAGGCTCCAGAATTTCCTTAGATATTTAACACATTCCTAAAAACACTCCCCCAAAATTTCTCACTTGTTCAAAGCTCACAAGGCTCCACCCAGCACCTGGCTCCCACTCACATCCCTAAACTCCAGACAATCCACGGGAAACCTGTTAAAAGCAACAGGTTTGTTTTCCTGCTTCTTTGAGACGGGGCAAAAAAGAGCAGCAAACCAGGAGATCAGAGCTCTCCACTGTGAGCAAACCCCCAAAGCCAGTGCCAGCACCGTGCTTGGAGCTGGGGTGAAGAACTGCAGGGATAAACTGGGCAGGTCCCTGCTCTGGGGGCTCTGCAAGTGCAGTGTCACCTTCAGCCCAACAAGGTCCCTCCAGGTGGGACAGAGCCCAGCCCCAAGCCAGGCTTGGAATGGCTTCCCAGTCCCTTGCTAACAGGCCAACACAATACATGAGAATTAAATCAAACCTCCAGATGAGGTTTCTTCCTTAGTTTTTAAGCCGTCCTGTAGATTTAGAAAAGAGTTTCAGCAGTCCAGAAATAATTTCATTGTTGGCAATAACCAAACATGCCATCAGTTTTCTCATCCCAGGCAGCAAAGGAAAACCCACGGCCTGTCCATACCATGGCAAAGCCAACATCTGCTTTCTTCAAGGCTGGGCCATCGTTGGTCCCGTCCCCGGTCACGGCCACCACCTGCCTCTGGTCACCAACGGTGCTGTCGATAATTCCTGACAGGGAGACAAGCAGTGCAGAGAAATTAAACCCCAAGGACAGGTTCCCAGCCTGGATCAGGCTGGAAAAGCACCCGGGAAGAGCGGGATGAGCTCACCTTTCACCAGAGTGTGCTTGTCAGTGGGGGAGGAGCGGGCGAGCACCCGCAGCTTGGGCCAGATCTTGTCCAGCTGCTCCTGTTCCACCTGCGGGACAAAAATGGGAGAAAGGGAAGTGATCCCTCTGGAATATTCTGCCCCACCAGAGAGCAAACTCCAGCTGGGACAGGACAGCACCTTCGCCCCCAAGCACCCTGTGTCTGGCTGGGTGAACATCCCAGCAGCTACAATTATCCAGAGAGAGGAGGGAATCCCACCCGGATCCAGGCCACCCACACCCTCTGCAGAGCAGTGCCAGGGTTGTTCTCCCACCTCTCCCTTCTCGTTGCGGATGAGCCGGTTGAACTCCTTCCCCTCCAGGCACAGGAAGTCCTCCCCTGGCAGCAGGATGCCACACTTGGTGGCGATGGCACGGGCAGTGTTGATGTTGTCCCCTGTCACCATCCGGACGGTGATCCCCGCACGCTGGCACTTCTGGATGGCATCTGGCACCTGGGGGACAAGGACAGAGTTTGGGGGGGGGGGCAACACGGGCAGGGTGCTCAGGTTGGCACTGGGTATCCCAGAGGAGCCAGGCAGCTCCTCTCCCAGCCTCCCTAAAAGGATCTGGAAAGGGGCTCTGGCGGGGTGAGGAACCTGCACCCGCTGCCTCAGGGGGAAGGGAACCTCGCTGCCACCTCCCTGTCACACCCCGGCACAGGGTGCCAAGGCATTGCCAGGCCACCATAAAAACAGGGGCATTTCACCCCCCTTCCCCACCCCACCCCACTCCAGCAGCACTAATGGGTTTATCCATTATGGAACGGTGGGGGAAGAGGATGTTAGTGAGGAATTAGCAAATTGAATCAAGGGCCTCCAGAGCCGGTGCAGACGGGGCATCTGTAATGCAATTCCCAGAGCCAGATACTTGGACATCTAATCAGGAAAAGATCCAGGCAAGGCAGGAGCACGGGGGCAATTCTAAATTGGAATGCAGAGGCAGGAATGGGAGGGTTATTGCATTAGCCCAGCTGCCAGCTTGGCACCCTCACAGTAGGGGCAGCAGCTGAGAGGGGCAAACCAGCTCCACCAGCCCTGTCCTTTTCCAACACCCCCATCACTCCTCCGTGGTGTTTCCATCCACCTTTCACCCATGTAGAACCAGCCTGGCTTGTGCACAGACCTCTGGAGCAGCTGGGGTGGAAAGTTTGGGTGGAAACCCCCTGTCACCAGGTCATTTTGTCCAGGGGTGGGAGAGAAATGCCAGCAGCAGGGAGCTGGTGGTGTGGGGCACTCCAGGGCTGGACACAGAGGAGGTGCCTGGGCTTCCTAAGGGGCTCGTGGTCCTGAGCAGCCGGGAAAGGGGTCCCTGGTCCTGGAATGGTGCAGGACAGCTGGGGCAGAGCGGGGTCAGTACCTCTGGCCGCACAGGGTCCTCGATGCCCACCACGGCGATGCAGGTCAGGTCAGACAGGATCTCGTTCTCGCTGTCCCAGTCGGGCTCAGCGTCCCCGGGGAAGTCCCGGAAGGCCAGGCAGATGGTCCTCAGCCCGTGGCAGGCCATGGGCTCTATCACCTTCTTCACCATCTCGTCCCGGTCCTTCACCTTGAACACCCGGGGGTCGCCGTTCTTGTCCAGGATCTTGGTGCACCTGAGGACCGGGAGGAGGGCGAGGGTCACCACTGGTGGCACGGTCCCCTGCCACCCCCACCTGCAAAACGGGGCATCCCCCGACGCCACAGCTCCCCCATCCTTCCGCACAGCCACCAAAACCAGTTAACCCTCTGCAGGGCAGCACCTCCCCGAGAGTCACCTCCCCTCCCCACCCCTCACCCCGCAGCCCCCCAAACAGGTCCCGCGGGGCAGCGAGAAGCCCGAAAGCCCCCGGGATGGGGCAGGGGCGCAGCTTACTTGCGGAGGATGATTCGTCGGAGGGCGCCCTGCTGTACATGCGGAAGCCGCCGTTGCTGTTCTTCAGCACCGTGCTCATGGACTTGCGCACCGAGTTGAAGGTGTAGACCTTGTAGAGCTTCTCCTCGGGCACCTCGTTGCGCACGGCCTGGTAATCCTGCTTCAGGTCCAGCACGAAGCCCAGCAGGGCACACTCCGTCTTGTTCCCCACCTGCCGGGGCAGCCCCCCTTCCTTCTCGGGCGGCTGGAGAGGGGAAAGGGAGGGAAAAAAGCGGTGCTCAAACCTCGGACGGACGCTGCGGAAGACACAAGGGCGGTTTGTTTCTCCCAGCTCACAGGTCTTTGGACGTGTAGGCCGAGTTGATGGCCGACGCCGTTTGGGGACGATTCGAGGTCCAGGATTCTTGGGGGCAGGATGGCTTCGGGGTCGGGGATCTGGCGGTAGTGGGTGTCCCCCACGTAGGCCTGCACCACGGTCATGCGGTTCATGGTCAGCGTGCCCGTCTTGTCCGAGCAGATGGCCGTGGCGTTGCCCATGGTCTCGCACGCGTCCAAGTGCCTCACCAGGTTGTTGTCCTTCATCATTTTCTGCAAGGGGCACCCACGAGCGGGAAGGTCAGAGCCGGCAGCCCGAGTTCCCCCGTCGCACCCCCGGCGACCCCGCGGCGCCGCGGTCTCACCTTCACGGAGTAGGCCAGGGAGATGGTGACGGCCAGCGGGAGCCCCTCGGGCACGGCCACCACCAGCACGGTGACCCCGATGATGAAGAACTTGACGAAGTACTGGATGTAGATGGGGGTGCACTCGGCCAGCCAGGGCCGCTTCTGCACCCCGAACGTGTCGATCACGAAGTACAGCACCAGGATGATGACGGTGATGGCTGACATGATCAGCCCTGGGGACACACGGGGCAGAGTGAGGGGACACAGGGGACACAGGGGACAGGGACAGCCCTTCTCCACCAGCTCTGGGGTGGTGGCTCATGCCAGGCCATCGCCACTCACCTGCCTTCCCAATCTGCACCGCCAGGCGCGTGAGCTTCCCTTGCAGCACAGACTTCTCCTTCTTGGGCACCTTCACCTTCTTCTTCTCCTTCTCCTCATTTTCCACCCCTTCCTGGCTCTTCAGGGGCTGAATTTCTAAGGCCACACCATCCTGAGTTTTAGCTACAGCCCAAGGGCAAAATAAGACACCACGTGTGAATAGGAGAGAGACCGGGAAACCCTGGAGGACACCACTGAGAAAGATGGTGGTGGGAGAGAGAGAGAGAACCCAGACCAAGAACCATTCCCGGCGACACACGCATCCGAGCACATGGAATCTCCGTGTCCCAGGGCCCTGCCACCTCTCTATGGGGCAGTTTTGTGTCATCTACCCCAGCCCATGGATAAGGGATCCTCAGAGGTGACACTGGCACTGGTCACAACTCTAAGGCAGCGCTGCAAGAAACCCTCTGGCCAGGTTTTGGGGTGGAGACTGGATTCATCCAGCCTCTAACCCTGCAGCAGACTGGGAGCGCTTTGGGCTGACCCCAGAGATGCTCCAGTCCCCCCAGTCCCTTGATGATCATCCCCACTCCCTCCCAGTGCCACCTCTGCAGTGCCCTGTGGGCAGCTCAGCAGGAATCACTCGCCAGGGAAGTGACTGAGGGGGTGAGATGGAGGGGACGGTTAGAAATTCGGATGGAGACTGAAGAGGAGGGAGCCAGCTCCTTGAATCCCAGCCCTGAGCCATCCACCACGCGTTTAGGACCCGAGACAGCCAGGCTTCCTGTGCCTACGATTGCTCTAGTCCAGCTGAAAGTCTGCACTGGGGAAACCCAAGTCTGGAAGCTTTGGAGAGGGATGGGGAAGAGGGTGGGAATCCCCCTGAGAGGCTCCTCCTCAGCTGTTGGAGCTGGAGGAGCAGCAGTGGCCCCATTGCTGCCCCGGGACCTGTCCCCTCCTGGCTGCTGCTGCTCGATGGCTCAAGACACCCCGGAGCTCACGGCAGCTCCACATCGGACACCTCCACGTCACAACAGACCCCACACGGACAGAACAAGCACCCGGACACAGTCTGACGGGAAGGAGGGAAACTCAAACTGCTGAGAGGAGAGAGAGAGAGAGAGAGAGGTGGAGAGAGGTGCAGAAATGGGCTTCCTCCACAGCCTGCAAAGAACAGTGTGAGAAACACTGGTGAGGAGACGCTCACGGAGTCGAGGCCATGGGAGGAGAGGGTGCAACCATCACATTGGCCAGGCCCCGTGGGATATTTCATCTGGGAACACCAGGAAGGGACCTACATCTCTCCCCCAGCCACGTCCAAACACAAACCCTGGGAAGGGACAGCATCTGATGGGCCCAGGGGCTTCAGAGCCATCAAATCACTGATGCAGCTCAAGGATGTGAAATTTGTCCCGAGAAAGGGATGCTCTGCCAAAGGTCCAGGCTGCTGGAGGAGCCCTGTCCTCCCTGCACAAGGGCTTTTCCCCACGCAGGGGCAACGTGGCCATGGGGGGAGCCAGCCAGGTTCATCCCAGGGTGCACAGCCCCACGCTGGGGTGCCAGAGGGCACCGTGATGCAGTGCCAGGGCCACCGGCCACGGGACCATTGCACCCTCTCCCAGGACAACGAGGCGAGAGTCCCGCCGGAGCAGCAAAGAGCACAGACTGATGAGAAGAAGGAAGGAAGGAAGGAAGGAGGAATGCTCAGTAGTTAGTGTGGTGCTGGTTCAAAGGATGGAGAGGCTGGTTACCTTTGTTGCGGTTTTCGGGGGCTCCACTTTTTTTACCTGTTCAAAGAGAGAAAGGGTGGGGGGCTCAGCACGTGGACCCACACTCACCACCCGGCTGGGGGACAGCCTGGGATGGGCCCTGCTCCGAGGGGCCGCTCCAGTGGCATCCATGCCCTGGGCTCAGAGCCCACGGTCACCCTCCGGACACCGCGCGTGCCTCCGTCCACAGCTCGTGGCCCTGGGGAGGCTCCGGAGCTCCCCGGATCCCCTGGGCACCCCAAACCCAAAGCCTCAGACTTCCCCACCTGCAGAGCACCCGCCACAACCCCCATCAGTGCCTCGGAGGGTGCCAGAGGTGCCTCAGACCTTGGAGGAGAAGAAACCCCCCAGCAGAGCTTGACCCCCTGCAGCTCCAGGTCCCCTCCTGTCCCGGGTGCAGGCAGATCCACATGGGAGGAGTGGATTTGTCTCCCACCACGGGCAGCACCAGACCCACAGTGGGGGGGTTCTGACCCCAGGGTCTGTGGGGGGCAAGGTGTGCACGTGGGGGTCCCCAATGGGAGCACAGGGCGGCTGCAGCCTGAACAAGCCTCGAGTGACAAGGGCTTTGTCCCCCCCATCATCCCCCAGTTCCACAGCAGGGACCCCTTGGCCCACTCTGCTCCCAAATCCAGGTTTGCTGTGGGGCTGAGTGACAGAGCTTGGAAGCTGGGGAAGCACCAAGCATCGCTGCCCGGGTGCCCAGCGAGCTGCTGCTCAGCTCCCACAGCAGTGCCATGCCCGTGTCACCTCCTCCTCCCACCTCCAAGCTGGCACCTGAGCCCCAGGAGCTGCACAGCCCCCAAAGGCCAGAGATCCGAGTGATCTGAGCTGGAGGAACCCAGCACACACAGCCCAGAGCTGGAACGGCTGCCAGGAGAGCCTGGGAAGCCTCTCCCTGCCTGGCATCGCCTCCTGGGAAGGGCTCCCTGGCACAGGGAGGCCTGAGCAGCCGGCAGTGCCAGCCAGCAGCTCCCTCCTGCCAGCTCCTTCTACCTCATGGCTGCTCCTGGTGAGCCCAGACCTGCCGAGCAGGGGCTCAGGGACACGGGAGAACAGGAGCTTCCCAAGCCTGGCTGGTACCAGTACTGGTACCAGAGCTGGCACAGAGCAGGGCAATAAGCAGCAGGAAAGCATCAGGAACACCAGCAGGAACACCTCAGCCTGCCTGGCTGCTCTCCCACCCCAGCACACAACCCCTCATCCTGCCATCCTCTGCCTCATCTCCTTCCCCAGGGAGCTCAGGAAATGCCAGCAGAGATCCTCAGCCAAGTCCTCAAGGTTCTGGATGGGCCACCAACACCCTGTGGGCAACCAGGACTCACCTTCCCCCAGCAAGGAGCACCGTGGGCAGCACTACCAGCCACCCTTCCCTCTGATCCTCAATCCCCCCAGCCCACAGCTCCAGCCTGGATCCAGCTGGGGACGAGAGAGCTGGAGCCAGGAAGCAGAGCCTGGGTGCACAGGGGGCTTTCCTCAGGCAGCACCAGCCCCACACTGTGGGTGAAGGGGCACAGGGAGGGACCCCCCACCTCAAGAGCTCACCATACATGCCTGGGCCACGGGCACTGACACACAACTGCAGCCCACGGGTGTGGGAGCTGCTTGTGGCACACTGGTGGTACTTCCCAGGGAAGGGAGAGAGGCCAAAGGAGGGAAAAGGCGGGTTCAGGGGATCTCCTTACCTTTCTTCACTTTCTTCTCCTCGTCTCCTTCTCCCGCGCCCAGGAGAGTGAAGATGATTCCTGTCTGGGAGTTGATACCCACGGCAGTCACCACCATCCTGCCAGAGCCCTCCATCACGTGGGTACCTGGCACAGCAGGAAGGTCACAGTGAGACAGGTGGGACAGCAGTTCCCATCTCACACAATCACAGGATAGTTTGTGTTGGAAGGGACCCGAAAGCTCATCCCCTTCCACCCCCTGCCACGGGCAGGGACACCTCCCACTAGACCAGGCTGCTCCAAGCCCCGTCCAACCTGGCCTTGGACACCTCCCCAACATCAGGACCCAAGACCAACCATCTCTCCACCCCTGCACCCACCCCACAGGGACCCTCACCTGAGAGCAGCATGGGGTCTTTGTCCATGGATTTCTTGACTTGGTCTGACTCCCCAGTCAGTGAGCTCTCATCTATTTTCAGGTCATTGCCCTGGATCAGGATCCCGTCCGCTGGCAAGAGATCGCCTGGGACAGGAGCACAGAGGGGATCAGCCTGGTCTGGGCAGCCACTGCTCACCCCTGACTGCCCCACCCCGTGAGGAGGCTTCAAAAGGACTCAAAACTCAGCCCCAGACCAAATCTAGAGGGAGGAGAAGCAGCAGGTGGGTTTTTTAAGATGAGGATTTTACTCAGTCAGACAGTGCTTCCCCATCCAGTTTTAATAAATCAACACCAGATCCTTCCCAAAGCTCCTGACACATCCAAACCATTCTGTAATGGTTTGGATCCCACCTTCCAACCTCCAAGGAGGGGAAAAAAACCCATGGGAAAACAAACTTGATGTTGGATCAGTCTCCTTCCTGACAGGAGCTGCATGGGGTGAATACTCCCCCTGGTAAACAAGGAGCAGGACCTAATTCATCCCAAAGGCTGCATCTCCCTGCTGAGGAAACATTCACGAGCATCTCCTGGCTAAGGAAATGTTCACCAGCAAGGACATGGCTGGGAAAACGAATCATTTTTGAGAACAGCAGGCCACTAAAGCAGCCCAGAGCTGTGCACAGAGCCTGGCTTAGCTCTGCCAGCCCAAGCCCAGGCGGGCCAGAGACAAGGTGAGTAGAGCTCCAGGGAGCATCTCCCATCACCACGGGGGCTGCGAGAGAAAGGAGGAGCCAACACTTCCCCTCAGGGCTGGAGGAGCAGAGGAGGAATTGCTGGGCTCCTGAGGGGGAGGGACAGCCTCCAGCTGGGCTCCTGAGGGGGAGGACACACCCCAGCCACCCCCGAGGGGCAGGGCAGACCCCCCCCACTCACCGTACTTGATCTGCGCGATGTCTCCCACCACGATCTCGGCCACCGGGATCTGGATCACCTGCCCCTTGCGGATCACCGTGAACTTCTGCTCCTGCTCGATGCGGCTCTGGAGGCCCCGGAATTGCTTCTCCTTGCTCCAGTCGTTGAAGGCGGTCACCAGCACCACGATGATCACGGAGAACAGGATGGCTGCCCCCTCGATCCAGCCGGCCTGCGCCTCGCCCTCGTCCTCCACGCCGCCCGTCGACTGCCCGCACACTGCCCGGGGGAGAGCTCTTGTTTGCACACCCAGACGTGTTTGCACACCCAGGCACACTCACTTGCACACCCAGGCACACTCACTTGCACACCCAGGCACTCATTTGCACACCCAGGCACTCACTTGCACACCCAGGCACTCATATGCACACCCAGGCACTGATTGCACAACCGACACCCGCCTAGAGTCACGCTGAGCCTGGAAAACAGTTACTCCTCCCTCCTCCTCCCTGAGCTGCCTGGGCTTCCCCTGCTCTCAGGAGACGGTTTTTACATCCCTCGAGGAATTTGTTGGGTTTGCTTTTTTTTTTTTTCCCCCCCCTCTTTTATCACTTTTCCTTTTTGGCAGAAGTTGGGCTGAGCTGGGACAACTGGCTTCTATTTCTGTTTCCAGCTGCAGCACCCAGCCCTCCCTGTGCTGCGTGACCCTCGAGTGAGTCACATCTCCCTGTGTCTCACATCTCCCTGCATCTCCAGAGCCCTGTGCCTGCTCGACTTCTCCAACAACACCGAGATCCAGGGCCAGGAGGAGAAACCCGCCCAGCACAGTCCTCAGCCACCCATGGGGTGTCACAGCACTTCCTGGGCAGGGGGACATACCAGGAGACAGAGAGCCTTGTCCCTCCCTCCCCAAAGCAAAAAAGAAGCCCTGTGGGATGTGGGAAGCCACTGGATCAGATGGACCCATTGGATTTGGAGCATCTTTTGGGGAGCAGCAAGGAGCAGCTCTGAGCCCGTGGTGCCCAGACAACAGTGCAGGTCCCTGGGGAGGGCCACACCAAAGACCCCAAGGATGGGGAGATGCCACCACCTAAAAAGGGTGAGCAGATGTAGCTCCATCTGCACAACCTGCCAGAGACATCACCTGTCCCAAATCCCTGCTCCCACAGGGCTGGGCATGGCTGTCCCCCACCAAAGCACAGGGACCCCGGGCACTCACGTTCATTGTCCCCACCCGGGGGGTGGTAGAAGGACAGGCCCAAGGAGATTATGGCTGCGATTTCCAAGATGATCAGTGTGACGTCCTGGAGTGCCTCCCACACTAACTGCAGGAACGTCTTGGCCTTTTTGGGAGGAATGAAGTTCTGGCCGAAGACCTGCCGCCTCTTCTCCAGGTCGGTCGGGTTCCCGGACAGGCCTGGAGGGGGGAGAGACAGGGATGAGGGCAAACCCCACGGCTGCCCCACAGCCCCCCAGCAGCACCAGTGCCAGCACGGGGGGCACGAGGTGCCAGCAGCAGGGAGCCAAGGCAGGGCTTTGCCCCTGTCACCCACGGGGGCCGGGGCGAGCACGCCCAGCCACCCTCCCAGTGCTGCAGCCTCAAGTGCCAGCCGATGCCAGTTGGCACTGGCCAGCTTGTTTACATGCTGCATCAAATTAGCCGTAAATCTGGCACCGGGAGCGGCGCTCGGAGCCGCCGGAGCCACCTGATCCCTGTGTCCTGCCAGCTCCCAGGAGCAGCGGCTGCGGAGAGCGAGCGGGCACAGCAGGAGCGTCTCCGAGCTCAGCTCAGCCCCACGGCCACGCCACGGCCACGGCCAAGCTGGTCCTGCCCACAGCTGGTGGAGGAGACACGGGCTGGTCCTGCTGGAATGGGGTGGTGGGAGAGAGGGAAGGAGCAGGCCAGCCCTGAGCTGGGGTGCTGCTCCCCACGGCTGGGAGCAACCCCTGAGAGATGGGGGGAGCAGATGGGGGCAAAAGGGGAGCAAATGGGGAGCAAAAGGGGAGCCTGAGCCCCTTCAGAGCCCTCCCACCCAGGCCATGAGCCAGTGGTGGGAGACACAACGTGCCCTGGCTGCCCCCCAGTGCAGCCACTAAGAGCTGATGGGGTCCCAGGTGAGAGAAGCCCTCCTGCCCAGCACCACCTTAACCGAGCCCCCCATTTCTCCTCCACCTTAAGATGGCCCGTGGGGTTGCTGCCAGCTCCCGGGATGCACCGGGAAGCGGCGTAAGTGGCCCCTGGACACATCCCGGTGCCTGGAGCAGCCTGGCAGTGATGCCCCCCCGGGGGGACCCAGCCCTTGTGCTCAGGGGACACCTCCCCGCCAGCTCCGTGTCATTCCAGGGGACACCTCCCTGCCAACTCCGTGTCATCCCAGGGGACACCCTCCCCGCCAGCTCCGTGCCATTCCAACCAGGAGGAAGCAGCAGGACGAATCCCGTTCCCACACCCCCCCTGCTCCCCCCCTTTGTGCTGTGACTCCACCCCAGCTGCAGGGAGGGGACGCGCTGGCAGAGCAGCCCCTGCGGCCCCACCCAGCCCTGAGGAGGCAGCAGGATCCTGGGATCTCCCGGCCCCGATTCCCGCCCAGCGGCTCCGGCGGAACGGATGGAAAATGTGGCTAAACTGCCGTGGAGCCAGGGCTGTGCCACGGGCACACACGTGCTGCTCCAGGAGCACACGGCAGGTTGCAGACTTTGGCTCCTCCAAAGCACATCCCACCCACGGGCCTGACCCCAGGGCTGCCCCCCACCCTCCTGGGGGTCAGTGTCTGTGCTGACACAGGGAAGGGGGCAAAGAGCAACAGCAAATCCCCCTGCAGGGCCTGAGGGTCCAGTTAGTGGGCGTTGAGTTGGAAATTTTGGGTAGAGGCCACAAGTGACAGCAGAGAACAAACCCCCATAACGGTCACCAGCCCCTGATAATCCCAGGAAAGCTGCTGCTGGGTGGCAAAGCCTTGGCACAAGGAGCCCCCACGCAGGATCCTCACCCTGGATGGGGAAGGAGGCGGCAGCCCCGGGAGCTGCTCCTGCCAGCGGGTGAGTCAGGGCACTGTGTGCTGGCACTGGGCACCCAGGGACACCGGGGATGCTCCACGGGTGACTCACTGAGCCACCGCCCCGCTGGGGCACAGGGGGATGTGGAGGTGGAAAGCCAGTGCCTGGCAGAGAGACACCCCACTCCATCCCAAAGCTCCTCCAGGAGCAGCCCCAAGGGATTGGGGTGCACTGACAGCTCTTGGGGGGAGAGCCAGAGACCCAGCAGATCCCAGTAGATCCCCATCCCGATGCTGGGGAGACCCTCACTGCACAGACTGATCCCATGGGATCAGACAGAGCTGCCTCAGGCTTTCGCTCTTCCCAAAAATCCCTGCTTGTTGGAAATAACCTTTCTGTGCTCTCTGGACTCAACAGGCTGGGGTTTGGGACAGGCAGCAAAGCTCAGCTGCAGAGCAAGAGGGTGAGGGAGGGATGTGCTGGGGACACGAGATCCAGCACTGACAACCAGTGGCACCCAGGATGGAAGGGCAGCCCTTCACCTCCCCTCAAAAGAGCCTTTGGGGTCTGCTCCCCCCCTCCCCTCTCCTCCCGCCCCCAAAGGAGCGTGTTCCCACTTTGGCAGGACCAAACACATTGTTTTGTGACCTGGACTTGGTATTTCCACCGGGACTCCCCCCCCTTCTCTAATGACATCCCGATATTGTCTCCCCTTCCCGGTCCCACTCACAGCTGGAAACGCACTAATCCCCACCTTTCAGCACTAAGAATAACCCACAAGTTTTCAGAGCCGAGGCGCAGCCACGTCCCCCACCCCACATCCTGCTCCCAGCTCCAGGTAAACCCTCAGTGCTGTAATCAGGGGGTCTCTCACCCCAGCACCCCTCTAATGCCAGGGAAGGGGTCCATCACCACACAAAGGCACCCGCAGCTCCCCAGAGCCAGCAGCCTCACCGATAAGGGGGACCCCAAAAGCCAGCCCAGCCCGTGGGAAGGAGAGGTGACATCCTGACACCCTTCCACAAAGCCTCCCAGAGGTGACCTGGAACCCACAGGCGTCACTGCCACCACCACTCCAAACTGGGATGCCCAGAGGCACCAACCAGCTTTTCCCTTGCGATCCCCTCAGATCAGGGGTGACCTGGGTGCCTCTCCCCACACCCCTGGGGGATGTGCTGCCCATCCCTCATCTGAGATGCCTCAAAGAGCTCCAGTCACCTCCCCAGCACCATCCAACCTTTACACTCTCCCTCCCACCCCCCCAGCCCTGCCACTGGCTCTGTAAATTATTAAATGGGAAAGGCTGGCACAGAGCAGTGGCTGGGCTGTGGTCGTGAGCCCCCCGTGCCCCTCTGACAGCCCTGAGCTCATCCTGCCTCCGCTCCATCCTCCCAGGGGACGTGGGGCTCTGGGCTACGCCCCGGGGAACCCCCTGGCATGATGCTTCTCTTTCTTCTCCCTCCTTTTCTGCCCTAAATGACCATTTTACGAGACACGAGGAGCGTCTCCCGCGATGGACAGCGGGCACGACGGCCCCGGCTAAGCTCGGCCACGGGACACGCCTCGGGGCCACCACCCTCCAGAGGTGACAACCCACCTGGCAAGGCCAACGGGGCGGCCACTCACCTTCGACGGGCGACGTCTTGAGCCTCTTGCAGACGTTCTGCACGCCGCCGTAGGAGTCGTTGAGCCGGGCCACCGCCTCGGCCAACCTTTACACTCTCCCTCCCACCCCCCCGCCCTGCACTGGCTCTGAAATTATTTAAATGTAAGGCTGGCACAGAGCAGTGGCTGGGCTGTGGTCGTGAGCCCCCCGTGCCCCTCTGACAGCCCTGAGCTCATCCTGCCTCCGCTCCATCCTCCCAGGGGACGTGGGGCTCTGGGCTACGCCCCGGGGAACCCCCTGGCATGATGCTTCTCTTTCTTCTCCCTCCTTTTCTGCCCTAAATGACCATTTTACGAGACACGAGGAGCGTCTCCCGCGATGGACAGCGGGCACGACGGCGCCGGCTGAGCTCGGCCACGGGACACGCCTCGGGGCCACCACCCTCCAGAGGTGACAACCCACCTGGCAAGGCCAACGGGGCGGCCACTCACCTTCGACGGGCGACGTCTTGAGCCTCTTGCAGACGTTCTGCACGCCGCCGTAGGAGTCGTTGAGCCGGGCCACCGCCTCGGCGCTCCGCAGCTCCATGAGGTTCCTGAGCTCCACCATGGAGCACCCGAAGTCCCCCTCATGGTTGCCTTCGGCGACCGAGTTGCCGGGGTGGTGGTCGGCCACGTTGTTCGTCATGGTGCCGGTGATGCCGATTCTTCACTCAACCCCAGCTGCCCGGCCCAGAAAAATGTCCCATTCACTCTGGGTTAAAAATACACCTCGGCAGTGGAAAACAGCTGCTTCCTGCGCGGGCAGGCGCCGGGGCTGGAGCGCTGCCCTCCGCCCTGCCAGCAGGTGAGGGAGCACCCCACACCCATGGAGAGGGGTTCACTGCACCCAGCAGGCCTTGAACCAGCTGAGAGACACCACAGGGACCAGGGAAGCCACTAAAATCTGTGAGTTCCTCTAAAACAGAGGCTTTTCCATCAATGACCCTCTCAGAGAAGCCCTCGAAGGCAGCGAGTGGCTCTTGGCCTTGGCTCTCAGCACCTGCCAGCCAGGTTACAACCCCCCAGCCCTGCCAGCGAGGACAGAGGAGTCCCAAAAATGCCTGAACCAAGCGCTGTGGCCAGGCAGGCACAGCATCCAGCAGCTCCCACGTTCCCCAGGGATCTGGGGACCCCGCTGGCATTCCAGACAGAGAGGATGGGGGCTAGGGACAAATAGGGACATGGAGGGAGCAGGCAGAGCAGCACAGGCCAGAGGGGAAAAGTGTTGTTTGTCACCCAGGGTGCCCTCCAGCTCTGTACCCAAGCTCCAGTGCCAGCAGCGATGCTCCTGGCACTCCAAAGGCAAAGAGCCTGCAAGGGAGGCTCTTATGCAGAGAAAATGAAGTCTTTCCTAGAGCAATATAAATGAATAACAAAAGGAACAGCCACTACAGCAGCAGCAGCCTGAGACAGGGTCAGGAGGTGGCAGAGCAAGCGAACAGGGAAGAAAAGCAGCCAGACAAGGACAGGAGGAAGGTGGAAGGACATCTATCCCTGCTTCCCAGGGGCACATGGGATGCACTAGCCCTCACAAATCCAACAGGCAGGCACCACACCCTGGGGCTGTCCCAGCTCACCCCACAGCATGGGACCCCAACTGCAGTCACACCAGAGCCCTCTGGTGCAAACCCCTCCCTGCCTGGGAGAGCAAACCCCTCCCTGCCTGGCCCCTGGGAGCAGCTCCCTGACAGCAACACCCAGGGCAGCTCTGGGCATTATCAGGACAGAACAGGCACCAACTGAACCCCAGGGACACCAGCAATGCCACTGCACAGGAGGGTCCTGTCCCCCAGCTGCAGGCACCGAAGGGATTGGGAGCACAAGGAGTTCAGGGATGGGGAGCACTGGGGCTCCCGGGACACCCAAACCTGCACCCTTGGGGCAGAGCATTGCTGCTGCCCCATAAAGCAGAGATCAACTCCAGCATTCCCACCCCAGCATCCCTGCCCATTCCCAGCCCGGTTACCCCACAGCTCCTCGTGGAGCTGAGCTCATCCATCATTTAAAGGCGTGCTGGCTCCCAGCAGCGGGAAGCAGGAGGTGGCAGGCCCAATTAAGCAGACTCCTGCTGATTAAGAGAAAAAAAGATAATTCCCTCACCCCAACACGCTAATTTTTTCCTCTTTCGTAGCAACCAACGTTGTCTGAGGAGAGCTCAGAGGTTAAGAGAAAGACGGTTAATTAATCCTGTAACGGCCTAGTCCATAATTACCCCTGGAGGAGCTCACGGCACCAGCAGCACCAGCCCGTGTCCCACCCACGGCTCCGGCCCCAGGACTGGCTCTGCCCCTCAGGAAAGGAGGGGCTGTGGTGGGGGAAAGACTCCTGTGTCTGCTCTGAGCACCCTCCTCCAGCCCATCCGGGGTCACAGACCCATTCCTGGCCTGTCTCTGCTCCATCCCACCAGTCCAGCACAGGCTCCTGCATTCCTTGGCCAAACTGGGAAGGATCAGTCCGGAGAGCTGCACTCAGGCTTCCCTAAGAGCCATCATCCTAACGAGCTCCTAATGACTCCAGCAGCGTTCAGCAGGCTGCCTTTCACTCCTATAATTCACTTCCAGAGCCCCCAGGCACTGGAGAGGAACAAGTGCTCCCCGAGGGCCTCCTTGGGAAGAAAACAAGGAGCGGGAGCCCGAATGCCCTGTGCAGACACAGGACCAGCCCGGAGCCGTGTCAGCTCCCAAACGACACCCCTGGGCAGGACAAGGGCTGCTGGGGAGTTTGGGATGAGGGGCACGGACTGTCTGGAGCCACGGGCCGGGGTGTGGGCTGGGGGAGGCGCGAGCTCCGGGCAGGAGGGAGCGGCTGGCGAGGCCGATGCCGGAGCCGATGCCGTGCTGCAGGCGAACCTGCCCGGAATAATAAACGGCTGCACGACACCTCCGTCCTGGCAGGGAGAGCAGCCACGGCCAGAGCCAGCACCAGAGCATCCCCCGTGCCCACCCCGGCCCCTGGCACAGGGAAAGGGACCCGCTGGCACAGGGAAAGGGACCCGCTGGCTTTTAAACTCGGGAAGAGGAAAGTGCTCGGAGAGGGACAGGAATAATTAAATCAGCTGGACCTGTCACACGTGATGCCTTCAGCCAAGCCACGAGCGGCCTCGCTGCGACACCGGTGGCACCAGGAGCTGGCACATGCCAGCAGCAGCCACCACTGGGGCCCTGGGCAAGGCCATGGATCCTCATGGATCCTCAGCACATCAGAGCAGACCCCGGCACTGCTCTGTCCTCCCTGCAGATGACCAGAGATGGAGCAAGCCCTGACCAAGTTCAGCTGTTGCTTTCCTTTATCCATGAATGAGGATGAAATCCCTGCCCCAGCTCAGCTCTTCTCCAGCCTGAACATCTCCCACCATCCAGGGCAGAGAGCACCGTGCTGAGGAAGAGCAAGAGCAGCCACCACATCCCCTGCCCAGAGCCACGAACCCCAGCTTGGACAAGCAGGATCAGGTCCATGAGCAAACAAACCTCAGGTCATGTGGGTCATGGTGGATCACCTTCCCCAAGCCACCAGCACCCCAGCCCCACACACTGCCCTTCAGCAGCACCCACTGGGGTTCATCTCCTCTCCCACTTTGGGAATGGGGTGTTGGAAACACTTGGCTGCTGTAGGTTGCCATGGCAAACTCAATGTAAAGCTGTCAGGGATGCTGTTTATGTTGCCAAGTGGGGATGGAAAGAAAAAAAAACCTCAACTCCCCCAAAATTACCCTTCTTGGCTCGGGTTTAAGATTTTTCTCTTTGGGAATTAAAAAAGCTGAGCTGCATCCCCAGTGGAATGAGAGAGGCTGCACTGAGCCCCAGAGCACACAGCACGGACAGACCCACTCTCCAGATGGACACGTGGGTTCCAAAAGCCAAACCAGCCAATTAAAGCAGAAAAACGGGCCTAAACCACCTTCCCCTGCCTGCTCTCTGGGATATGTCCCAGGAGAAACTGCACAGCTCCTCTGGCTCACCCTCCCACCTCGTGGACCCCACCAGCACTCAGCACCCACTGTGGGCTGCTGGGAGCCACAGTCCCACGGGGGAGCAAGGCTGGAAGGCAAAAAGCTGCTGGAATGGCTGCACCTGCTGAGAGCATCACTGGGAGAGACACGTGAGGTGCTGCCATCAGGGGAAGGTGTTTGGGGAGAGGAAGAGACCCCGGCTGTAGCAGGGAGGGACACACCAGGGGACGTGTGGGGCCCCCTGCACTGGGGGGTCTGCACTGGCACCTCTGCCCAGCACACCTGCGAGGTTTCAACAGCTGAAAACCTCAGACACGCTGTTCTCAAAGGTGTGGGGGGCACGGGGAGGGCACGACCCCTACCCCTGGTGCCCACTGGGGCTGAGTCAGGTCCATCTCCCACGGTGGAGGGACATGGGCACGTGGAGCAGACGGTCAGACCAAGGCAACACCAACTCCTGGGGGATTTTGAGGGCCCCCCACCTCCCACCCGGTGCCACAGCGGAGCCCCCACCTCTCCCCAGGAAACAGGGGGGCCCCAGCACCCCAGGGGCCAGGGCAGGGCCCCTCCCCTGCACACTCACCAAATCGCAATGTGCAGATGGCAGCCTCTCCTCCCTGCCTGTTCCCAGCAACACCCCTGGCAGGGGAAGCCTTCCCTCCTTAACCCTTCCCACGCCAGGCACCCCAGGAGGGCACCCAGAGGGGACACGGGGTGTTGTCACCTCCTGCGGTGGCAGGAGCCAACAGAGCGACTCACCGTGACAAACCACATGATCTGCAGGGGCAGGGCTGGCTCCAGGGGCGCGGGGGCCACCCCAGGCAGGACTGTCACCCTCGGGCCCCAGAGCTTCCCCGGCAGCCACCAAGGGAGGAGGTGCAGGATCACAGAGGTCAGAGAGGGCAGTGAAGGTCACGGAATCTGGTCCTGCCGCCCAACACCCCCATGGCAAAGGCACAGGGGCACCAGGCCAGGCCCCAACACCCCGGACAGACCCCTGCAGGCACGAGCTCCACTCACGGCCCCCTGCGACAGCACAAGGCAGCGTGGGAGCAGGAGCTGCCCCCCCTTCCCCAGTCACGCTGGTGTTGCCCCTCCCTGCTCCTTCCCCTGGGCACTGGGTGCCGAAACCAGGCAAGGTCCCCAGTCAGGGCTCCCCGGGGCAGCACCTGTGGCACCCACAGGACGTTCCCTCCTCCCACTGCAGTATCCACTTCCTCTGCCGGAGCGCACCCGCCATGGGAGGGGACGGTGGCACCTCCCTCCCCAGTGGGGCCACCCCAGCACCCGACAGCGGGAAACCCCCCAGCGACACCCAGCCCACAGGTGGGACACGTGGGAAAACACAAGAGCCAAAGGCCTGGGATGGGGCGCTGCAATAACTGCAAGAAGCCCTCGTTTTTCAATCGCAGTGCGGAGAGGGAAGAAGCTCCCAGCCTTCATCCTGCAAGAGTGGGGGGACTAATGTGCCCCCCGTGCCAGGGCACCACAGCTGGAAAAGGGCCAGCAAAACGCCCAGGAAGTGCTGGGGCGGCGCAGAGCTCAGCGGCAGCGATGCCGTGCCAGGGAAACCAAGCCACGGAGCAGTGCCCTGGTCTGCGAGCACGGGGCTGATGCTGCAGCCCAGGAGCACCAACCCCAGCGGAAACCTGTGGTGAGACCAGAAGGAGCTCCAGGCTTCTCCTACACCAGCCCACCAGCAGCTCCC